TCCTTTTCCCCCCTCTGTGATATTCTTGTAGGAGCACAGTCGCAGCGCTGCGTTTGTCATGTTTCTTCCTGGGGTGGAGGCAGGGGAGGACTCACGCGTGCAAACCACAGAAGAAGAAGAAGCGGCGAATGTTTAATGAATAAGAATAAAAACAGATTTTCATATGAATTATGATCATTTTGGCTGAAATCAAGCTCAGCACGAGCCTCTGACACGAGCGATGCTTCGACATTCGGAGCTGTTCTCAGCGAGCAGCCAGCGCCGCTGCCCCGTAGGACGCTCGCCGACATGAACAAATAAAACTGTGGTTTAGCTCGCAGTGACGGCACGATGGTGTTCTTACGCCATCTTGGGTCGTTTAGAGTCACCAACTCTCAGTCTCAGAAAATCGGCCAGCCGAGCCACAGGATGCGCGACACCAGGAACCTATCAGAAATAAGCTGCCACGCAGCCTCCCACCACCAGCCGGCAGCACCTCTGTGTGAGCGTCTGAAACCAAACACGACAACGAGGGGCAGATCAGACTGCGAAACCCATCTCTCATTGGCTAACGACCTGCCAATCACAAGTCTGTAGCCAAGCTTCCTCTCGGACACCAAGACCGAAGCGTTCCTGCTGCTGAAGCAGAAACTGCAGCGAGTTTTGTGTTCAGACCAAACAGGAAGCTAAGATTTGAGCTCAGGTGCAAATCTGTGAGAAGGAGAAGTGTCGGCAAAACTTTCAGGTAGAAAAACCTGAAAAACAATCATTTTTTCTGTGAGTTTATTTAAAAATGTCAACACGCAGACATTTGTCAACACAAATGACTTTGGTGTCACAATGTAACAACATCCGCACAGAAGCCACCAAATGTCTGAGCAGGGAAACGTAGTTTTGTGAGTTCACAGGCTCACCTGTGACGTCGCATTAATGTCGCGTCTCCAACAGAAAATCTTTGCATGAAAAGAAAAAAATCAATACTCAGGACAGTTAAGGCGGGGTGTCAACAGGCGGTCCGAGCCCCCCCTCGGCTGCGGCGATGCCTAATATATGGCGTGACCTTCAAAATGTCATAAATGTGTTGTGCAATAAAGTGTCAATATTTGTGGTTATATGGAGCCGGCTGACTTTTACAGTAATTGGAACAGCCGCATTAAAGCTGCGGATCAGCCGACTGATTAAAGACGCGCAGGCCGGACGCTCGTCACGTGTGTGCACGTCGCACGCCGCTACAGCCCAACGCACCTCCGTGTGCGCTCTGTGTGCGAATGTGTGAAGCCCATTTATTATTGAAGGGCTGTTATATGCCAGGAGAGCGCACTCTCATCCTCTCAGTAGTGTGTCTTCCTCTTACAGGAGCACTATTAACCCTGACACACAAGGACACGTCTGTGTGTGTCTGTGTGTGTGTGTCTGTGTGTGTGTGTGTGGGGGGGGGTCTGGTGTTTTTCCTGCTTCTAATCTGTGTTTTGGATTTTTTAATTTTAGCCCATCTGGGGTGGGCAGGTGGGCCAGTGTCTGCTACACGATGCCGGGAGTCTTTGCCAAAAAGGGATCTGTACAGTAGACCACTCAAAATATGTTTATGAGTGCGGCTACAGTATGGTGCAGCCCGCGTGCTGGGGGGGGGGTTTATATAATTATTTCCTCTTTCTAGGACGGCACACATAACAGGGAGGCTGATGGAGGGAATTATAATTCCACCTGAAATCACGAAACCAGGAGCAGATTTCACGTCCCAGCTCAACAGTTAGAAGACAAACCCGGCCCCTCCCCTCCCCGTCCGTGAAAGAAGCCTTGATAACTCGAGCGGGGGGGGCGGGGATTGTTTTTTGCCTCAAGGCGATGAAATGTTCGTGTCCATGTGGACGACTGAAGATTTTTCCTCCTTTAAAGGGAGAAAAGTCGACGTGTGCAGCTCGCCGGGCTGATGTCACACCGCCTGTACCTGCTGCGTCAGGAACAGGAGGGTTCGGGTTCAGCAGCCGCCACCAGGCCGCTGTGACATCATAACGCTGTTGGGTCGTTCCCTCTCAGATCAAGTCACCTCGAGGCTTCTGCTCCCACGTGTTACGCTGAACACATGATGTACATGTCTGTCACATAAGCTGTGAAAGCTTCATAAACACTTTGGTTGGAAACTGAAATCTGACGTTTGAACCTGAGTGTGTAAAAAACCCTGAAACTGTGACGGCTCTTTATCGCGCTGCTGTTACACTGAAATAAGCTTTTTTCATGTGGTGCTTTAATTATGAGAAATTATTTTATTTTATTTATTTATTTATGTGCCAGTCCGATAAATCTGACATGTAAACAGAGGCGTTGCAACTTTAGCATGTGCACATTTTTGTACATAAAAATAAAAGCAGCAAATGAAAGCGAAGATGAAGCTAAAGCACGGTCGTGCAGACGCTCTCCGTGAACACGGCGACTTCACGTTTTCCTGAGGTCGGGCGGGTTCAGCAGGACGAGGCGTCGCTTTCATGTTTTTCCACTCTGAGCTGAAATTTTGCTGAAACACATCCGAGCCTTCGAATCCAGGAGTCCATAAATCGGTGAAAGATTACACACGTGTGCGAGCGCCCGGAGGCGGCGGTTGGTGCGATTTGTGAACACGGAAACGTCCCCGAGACGTGCACGTCTACCCCATCGAAACTCTGACACGTGAGGCTTTTGTAAACCGTCTTGTCGTGCGTTGGAATTCAGAACGTGAAAAGTAAAAGTCAAAGTTTTCGTTTTTATTCCTGTTTGTCAAACTGAACGATTATTTTCTCCGAGCTAAACGTCTGAATGATCGTGGCGCCTCATTCCTCTCGCCGTGAGCGCAGGAAACATTAAATCCTGTGTGTGAACGCTGACTCAGCAGGGAGCCTTAAATAAAAACATATATATTTATAGTCATCCTCTGTTGTATTTGAGTAGATGTTGACTTTTCGGGGAGTTTTTCTGTGTGAAATAAAATAATTTCCACGAAACAAACAAAGCGGAGCCTGAAATAATCTGAATGCTGTAAATTTCCTGCAGATGTTTTTTAGTTCTCCACAGATTCGATTGGAAGATTCAGAAGTTAAACATCTGCCTCTCCGGCCCTCGCCCTGCCCCCTCTCCTCTACTGTACGCTGAATGAAACCGTCCCGCCGTGCAGAGCGGCGGTGTCGGCGTATTGTCCCTCACAGACTTACATTTAGGTCGCCTTTCACTTCCAGCTGTGATAAATAGCCTTCAGCCTGATAGCGGCGAGGCTGGATGGACTCGTGTGTTTAGTGTCAGTATGGAAGAGGACTTGCTGACTTGGTCTTTCCATTCTGTAAACCTTATTTGACTCCCCGACAGAGGAGGAGGAGGAGGAGGAGGAGGAGGAGGGAGCCGCAGAAAAGAAAAGATTAGGCTCCTGTTAGCGGCTGCTCCTCATTGTGCTCCCGTGGGTGCCTCCGTGGGTTTGATTCTTCTCTTTCTTTCTGCCCCCCGCCGTCCCCCGCACACACCCAATCATGTGCAGAAAATAAATAACACTTACTTTCTGCACATGGTGACGGCTGAATGGCGAACAGTTCAGCGTTGGTCTAGGCCACGGTAGCCTGCCCGTACACAAAGGCGCCACTGGACCCGGCATGATCCGCCGCGTCCTGCGAAACGTCGGGTTTGAGCTTTGAGCGGATTCATGAGGCAAAGCTGCCGGAGGACGTCCGCGGACGTCTTTCCTGATCTGCCGGTGGGAGCGTAACAGCTGTCTCAGTTTTAGGTTGATTGTGTGTCCTGCTGAAGATCGTCAGAGGGCGCGTGTGTGGATGCATTTCCACCTGCGTGGTCGTTCGTGAGGCCCAGAGTCGGATCCGTCTCCGAGGCACCGCAGGAAGCTGCCGTCACCATGAGAGCACAAAGAAAATATCAAATGCTGTTTTGCACATAAACTATAAAAAAATGAAATGAACTGCACTGTGTTTGTTAATGAGCGGAGATATTTTTCTCATTTTAGTTTTTTAATTCTTTCATTTTTATTCTTGAGAAACTAGAACACAATAAATGAATTTAGTTTCCTTCTTTTGAGCACGTGCAGCGATTCATGAGATGTTTTAAAGAAGAAATGTCACTGCTGATTGTTTGAGTGTGTATTTAAATACTGATCATATTTAAGGACTAAAGTGTGATGTGTGAGTCCTGTTACGAATCCTGCAGCCGTCCCGTAATTAAAGAAAACATAAAAAATAAAAAAAGAACAAAAGCAGGAAATGAATTTCGGCGTTTTGCTGTGAGATCTCGCGTTGAACCAAATTGTGCAGAAAGGATATTTTTAATTTTACAGCTTCCAGATATTTATCAAGTATCTGTTGTACATTTTCCTCTGATGCGTTTCTTCTCCCGGCCTTTAAACACGGCAAATCAGTGCGGCGAGGCCGGCGTGTGCAGCGTGACGCCGACACCCTCACCTCAGATTATGCTGCTGTCAACACATTCCCAGGTTGTCGTCACTCATCTTTAGATTTGCGTTCGGGGGGTGATCGCGTTGATAACAGACTGCTGGTGCACTAAACTGTGCATCATCGTTTTTTTGGCGTGCGGAGGAAGTGGCGGAGGGCGGGGTCAAAACTGTTATCACCCTATCATATCTCTGACAGCTACCTGTCAAAATCGGGTCGCAGCGAGAGATGCGAGGATATCCTGCGATGCTGACGAAGCCAAACGCGGCCCTCTCCCTCTTTTCTTCGTCTCATTTCGCATTGTTAAGTCTCACTGCACTCCAGCGTTAGCTTAACGGGAGCGACGACAGGATAAAAAAAGAAAAACAGGAGGAGGTTATGGGGGGGTGTTTCTGAAGAAAGCTTATGAACTGTCAGCGTTCTGTCAGGAGGAAAACAGCGCGGCCCGTGAACTCGTTTGATGCATTTGACTTTGTGTGGCGTTCGCGCAGGAAACGAGGGACAAAGAGGAAAAAATGTGTTGTGTTATGATGTGTGCAGGGCTGGCACTCAACACGCCTTCCATTTGTCTTCCTCGTGTGTGTGTGTGTGTGCGTGCTCCAGATGTTGGCGAGGACTTGGTGAAGACAGCGGGGAGCATCCAGCCGCCTCTGCCCCAGCATCGAGAGCGCTCCCTGGCCTCGTCCTCCAAGGACTGCCCTTACTGCGGCAAGTCCTTCCGCACCTCCCATCACCTGAAGGTCCACCTGCGGATACACACAGGTCAGTGCCTCCACCCTCCACCCACCCCCGCCTGCTCTGCAGCTATGAAACATTTATTGGACTTCATGCAAAATTTACTCCAGCGCTTGTTCTGACATTTCTTCTGGGCTTCGGCTGACATATTGGTTTCTGAATATCGGCTCGCTGGAGTCGGTCTCCCTCTGACGTGAGGGAGAGGACGCAGATCCATTGATAATCTATCGGTTTGAACATCGATGCGGGAAGAAGAAAAAGAAAGAAAGGAACAGAGCACAGGCCGTCACAAACCCAGTCCTCCCAGTTCAGCAGTGTCAGGTCCAGTAGGCCTAATCTGTCTCTGTCCATGGGATCTAATCCCAGAGGCTCCGCGTTATCAGCTGCTGGATTTGAGCACGTTTCCTTCAGACTCACATAAATCCAAATTAAGGAAACTGCTGGCGAGCGTGCACTTCCTCTCAGTGTCCCTCATTTAGGCTTAAGGCCATTGTTATTCCACTTTTTTTCCTGCTCATCATTTCATTGAGCTCTAATTAACACAACAAGGGTTCAGTGTCCTCCAATGACATCACTCAGAGGGCAATTTCACACTCTCTAACTCTCAATAACTTTCGAGGCAAAACAAAGCCGGCCTGTCCACCGTTCGCAGGGATGTCCGTGAGACCGTGTGTCGAATAGATTTAGCTTTATGTTTCGGGCGGGTGTGCTAACCCTCGGAGCGGCGCCGTCCCCCGGTTGTTTTCGGTCAGAGTAATGATGTGGACCGTGGACGGGAGCCAGGGCGCTAACCCTCTGCGAGGTACGAACGCCCCACTGACTATCCAGGTTAAAGTCACATTCAGACTGTGCAGAGGACACCTTACCACAAGGACACCTGGCTAAAGTTTCTCAGGTGTTTCCTGCCTCTCAACTCATCAGCTTCAGCTCAGCGTTGTTATTCACCCGAGGTCTTCCAAGCGAGAGTCCTCTCTGGACCAGTTTGGCTATCCACGCAAGCATAATCCCACATAAAGAAGAGCGAGATCAATCGTAGTAATAAAGACTTCATATGAAAAACTGCGATTGTTCCTGTGACTGATGCTGCCGGAACAAAGCTGGTTGATGCCATGTTGTTCTGCTAATTCAGCATTACAGCATTAACCCTTAAGCTCACTTTAATCCTAAAGTCACACTTGGGTCCCCAGAACACAGTAATAACTCCACGTCAGTCACGCCATCCTCCCCTGCATCCTGCACCAAACACGAGCGTCCTGCTTTATTGGGTCACACCTGAGTTCACTGAGGACACAGGATGTGCTTTTTCTCACAGGCTTCTATCCAATCAGACTTCATGGGAGTCGCCCCCTGCTGGACAGCAGAGAGAATGCAAGCTTCAGACTTCCAGACCTGACGATGCATCAGACTCTTATACATAGGGCTGGGTATCGTCACTGATTTCTAGAATCGATTCAATTCCGATTCACAAGGTCCTGAATCGATTCGATCCAC